CTTAAAAATTTCAACAGAAAAAGATGTCTAAATTTGGACTGAAAATTGTCTTCTATATAAACAAATTTCAAATGATAATGTGTGCTCATTTAACACATCTATAAACTCAAAGGCATTCTGATATTAACAGTTCAATATACATACGAACTTGGTCAGACAATAGAAATTGTATGTAAAATGACCACCATTCATGTATGTTTACTACCCTGGGATATATTATTTACCCCATACATAGATTGTTTTGGGGTTTATGAATATTTCAACCAATTTAATTAATGAATTATTAAGAAATACATGTATGTTTTTTTCTTCACAATTTTCAGTGTAATGTTGGACGATATTACAGGGAATTTTTGTAGGGAATTATGGTTTGTTTGTTAATGTATTCGGGTACATAGAACGAAATATATTGTGTGTAAATTTTACCTTTGAAATAAACAAACCTCTCCGGGAAATATCATGTAAAAATGGCCTACGTTCTGGACAGACTATTAATATATAACCTAATATAAGCTATAAATGAGAGAATTGTGTGTAAATCATGAAATGATATCATACAAGTTCGCAAGTATATTCCATACTGATATTAGCCATTTTATGTTATCACAAGGAGGGCAATGAATATGCCTATCTAGTCAATCATTGGAAATAGAAAAAGGTAGATATGATAAGCGTAAACGAGAGGAACGTATTTGTAAATACTGTAACATCCAAAACATTGAAGATAAATTTCATTTTGTCCTTAAATGCCCAAAATTTAATTCACTACGAATATTGTACATAAAAAAAATATTATTATACAAAACCTAGCGTCTTTAAACTTATTAAGTTACTAAGTGTGCACAACCACTCTGAACTGATAAATCTCGGTAAATTTCTTTTATATGCAGGAAAACTACGAGATTAACTCTGTAATTTTTTATTATTTGATGTCTTTTAGTTAATTTTACTCTCCTAAAACCGTGTTTGTATATATTATTATGTATGTATTGTTTTGTAAAGTATGTATATACATGTATGTATGTTTTGCATTTTGTACCTTATGAGTCATTGACTCAAAGGAATAAAGAACTGAATTGAATTGATATAAAGACGTACTTATTCAAATTATTATTCACACGTCAACCAAATCAACTTTTATTGAGATGAAATTAGTACAATGTCCACCCCTAAACAAGTAAAGATACAAAATAAGCATAACAAAATAATAAAAGAATGATATATTATAGTCTATTTACCTTGAACAGGTATATATTATTCCAATTCATGTCCGGACATCTTGAAAGATTTTCTGTGTGTGTTTGTTTTGTCAAGTGATTTGATCTCAATTGACCTTGAATATTTCACGTGCATGAGTATTTGTTATTGTTTGTTTATTTTACAAGTGGGTGAATATTCTCAATTCGAAACCTCTGTTCTGAGGGAGAATGCCCGCTATTTGAACCCCAAGTAGAAATGCTACTGCTTGTTTTACGATCATTTTTTGATT